AACTTTAGATGTAGGGAAAGTCGAGATTTGCGCCCCAAGAGCCACTGCATATTCGAAAATTTAAGTCGCAGCTGAGCGACTTTTTTCTTAATGTGAGCGCCCCATCTGAGCCTGGAATCCAGGTGGAGGCCGAGATATTTTCCGATATTATCATTAGGGATCTGAATTTCTCCTAATAAAAGAGGGATGTGCGTGAATGGTCTATTAGTAAAAACGACTTCGACTGATTTAGACGCATTTAATTTAGTTTTATCTTTTTTAGTCCATTTATTAATTTTATTTAAATGAGTTTGAGCTGTAAATCGTGCCTCCCTGTAACTTCGAGATGAAGCTAGCACGAGAGTATCGTCGGCATAAACTCCCAGTTTCCCCCCTCTCCCAGACTGTGGGATGTCTGTGGTGAAAAGAGAATAGAGTAGAGGAGAAAGACAGGAACCCTGTGGAACCCCTGCCCTTATGGGTCTGAAGCTTGATGTAGAATTTTCGTATCTTACCCGAAATTGTCTTCCTGAAAGAAAAGAAGACAGGAGGTCCACATGGTTACATGGGAGCATTTTAAATAATTTTTCAACAAGACGCTCGTGCCAGACTCGATCAAACGCCTGAGCCACGTCGAGAAAAACCGCCACACAGTATTCTCCCCTTTCGAGAGAATCCTCAATAAATTTGGTGACCCGATGTAATTGGTCAACCGTTGAGTGTTTGGCTCTGAAACCAAACTGAGCATCAATTATGAGGTTTTGTTTGCTAACTATTTCGTTTAATCTTTTTATGTAGAGTTTTTCAAAGAGTTTACTTATTACAGGCAATAACGAAATTGGTCGATAAGACGCAGCATCGTTAGGGGGTTTATCCGGTTTTAAGAGAACAAAAATCTCTGCCGTTTTCCATTGAGATGGGAAGTATTTGCATCTAAATACTGCGTTAAAAATTCCGACCAACTTCATGATTGCCTTTTTTGGAAGATTTTTTAAAATTAAACCGGATATTTTATCAAAGCCAGGGGCCTTTTTGGCTTTTATCTTCCCTTCGCGGCAACCCTGCTCCTAGACTCGCCTTGACTAGGAAAGTTCACCACCGTCCCTTCCCCTTGGAGGTGCAATTTGGGAGGCTCGCGCTAATTACTGCGTCTGAAGACCCAAGTGTCTGAAATCCAGCCCTGAAAACGCCTATTTTCAAGGCAATCCTTGCGCTGCGAAAATCCGACTTCCGAAGAATCGTGCCTCCCTGTATAGTCCTGGATAGACGATCAAATTCCGAACCAATTCCGATGAAATTAGACATGCTGATGACTGATGTTCACCTTCTACCATCAAATTTTGGCGGGCCGCACTATTTTGTTCAAAGTAAGATACAGTGCCACCATTCATCATTTCCTGCCACAGGAAACATTTCTGCCAGGTTTTCATTTTAAAATTAAGCAAATTAATGAGTTTAAGACTGATGACTCCCGACACATTGATGTTATTTGGTTCGGACTTTCATCGTCCATCGAGACCTCATCAGCCGAGCACAGACCGATCGGAAGTCACCGGGCCCGCCGCGATCCGCTTGGAACCAGTCTCCGAGCGACGAGACCCTGCGGCGCAGGAGCATCCGATGACGTCATCGTTGGTTCGCCTCGCGTGACGTGACGTTTCTCAGGAATACGAGCGTCGTCGCCGGACGATCCTTGAATCGGCCGCGAGGTTGATGGCCGCGGCCGACGCAGCCGCCTAGAGTGAAAACTGGTCCGTCGCCGTTGCCGTCGCTTCGGTCGCGTCACCCGCCGCACGGTGGACCGAGTCAATAGGATCAGCCGGACAAAATTTGGGAACTCAGAAGCTTTTAACTCTGTTTATCAGGGTGTCTAGCATCAGGAAAACCCGGAAAATATCATGAATTTTGGCCGGTCAGGAGAAAATCAGGAAAAGATCAGGAAAATCAGAAAAATCGGACGTTTTATCAGGAATTTTTCTTCCGCGAATCTCCTCAGCGGAGAAAGTCTTACTGCTTTTTGCCTACCGTGCCAGGAGTCGAGAAAAATCAGGGAAATATCAGGAATTTTCAAAATGAAAAATTCAGGAATTTTTTATGCAATATCAGGAAAATATCAGGATTTCTCAAAATTAAAAAAATACCAGACACTCTGTTTATACAAAACTTTGAGGTTCTATAAGTGGTGAAATTTTCTTTTAGTAGCACCCCTTGAACTTTGAAAAGTGACTAAATTAACATCATAGTTCGCTGTTTTTGTCAGAAACTTCATGTGCGACCTCTCCGATTGACTCGATCCACCGTGCGCCGTCCATCGATCGGAATCCGCGGTGCCCGTCGTTGCCGGCTCGGCCCGTCGCCCGCGCCGCCGCGCATCGATCCGCGAGGGCCGGCGCACAGTGGATCGAGTCAGTTAGAAAGGTCGCACATGACATTTTTTACCAAAACTGCCAATTTTGGTGTTTATTCCGTCACATTTTACATTTCAAGGGGTGCTTTGAGAAGCAAACTTCCTAAGGAAACCAAAGAAACCACTTTCAGAACCTCAAAGTTTCGTATAAACGGAGTTATAAGTGTAAAAAGTTTCCAAATTTTGTCCGAGCTCTCCTATTGCCTCGAACCACTGTACGACGGCTCCGGGGAAAGGGCCAAGACGGGCGTCCGGCGTCGCTGTCGGGCCCCGCGGAACGAAAGCTGGGTCAAGTCCGCCGAACCACGACCTCGGCTCTGCGGACCTCGCACCATGGTCAAACTCCCCCCCCCCCCCCCCNACTCACCCTTCTTTTCGACCCCCGAAACATATATATCGGATCCTGAAAGCTTTTATCGTGTCACGCGGAAATTCGGGATCGCGAACCCCCCGCCCCCCGCGACATCGTCACGCACGTCTGAACCCGCGCTGAAGAATGGATCGTGTTCGATATATCGAACAGGTGAGATTTTATCGATATCGATTAGTTCAACCACAAAACATAGCCTCAAACGTCGATTTAGAAATCTGAGGTAACGGGTTTATTGAGATAGATTTTTTATTCTTGTGAGTATAAAATGGCAATGATTAGTAAAATTGTCAGGAATTTTCTCATCTTCAGCTTTTCCAAATTAAATTTTAAAATTCAAGATTTTAGGTCCTGTTCGATCGTTTTGAACCAAAGAATATATCAAACCACTATCGAATACGATCCATTATGTCAAGCCTCGCGGTGTGATCGAAAAGAATGGAGGGAGGTTTTGAAAATAGGCACGCTGCGCGGGTTAGCGTGATAATGCGATTTTTTTCGGGGTAGGGTCGGCGAAATCGCGCCCTTTCCAAAGTAAAGAGCATACAAAATCGGGGATAAGTCATTATGTCATCACTTAATTTTTTTTTTTTTTTTTTTTTTTTTTTGCTTTGAGAGAGGGATTTTTCTCCCCTTTTTTTCTCTTTTTTTTGTAAATGAGACGGCCCACTCTTCTTGGCACAATCTTGTTCTCGTCTCTTTATACACAAATTACCGCGATTTTGCAACCCAAAAAATCTGCCATTTTCCTGGCGGTCTAGCAAAAAAGACCTCGCAGACCTCGATTTTCCGCAAAGTACGTTTTTTTACCCATTTCAGGGGCCTTTCCATTTTTCGCACGCGACCGATCGTGACCCGAATCCTCGAGCCGTGAGTGACAAAGCACCCGAAACGAATAAGGAAACTCGAGCGCTTCGCGTGACAGGGCTCGAGGAAAAGTGTTAAAATGCATTCATATTTGAAAAGCGCGCGCATAAACAAAATGTGCAGCGAGGCGCCGAATTAACCGTCATTACGAGCAGCGCATTGAGTGACAAGTCAATAGAATAAGTTCATCGATAACCATCCGTTATTTGTCATGAAAGCACGCATCACCAACCCACGCTTCCTTCTTTTCCTCAAACTGGAAGTTGCCGATTGTTGCACCACTCGGATCCCTCCCATTCATGCTACAGGTCCAAGTCGCGCCTCAGCCACCTGGCATCCGCGATTGGCACAAATGAATGCTGGCAAAAATAAACTTTTATTTTTGCCGAGCGGTTAGTGGTCGGTCGAGTTATTTATCATTTCGGGATCCTACACCGTCGGACCTCCTATTTTCGCCTGCCAGTTCCTCGTTTTCTTCTTCTTATATTTCCGCACGTAAATAAACAACTTTTCTTTTTACCTATCGAACGGCGTCTGCTGGTTGGTTGGGGGAGGTCTCAATCAACCAGAAAGCAGCTTTCTTCTGCAAAAACATGAGTTGGCCAGCTATGATTTTGGCGGTCATATTGCTTGCTGTTCGATGTCGTCGCCGGATGCCAAACGTCATTTCCAACTTTTTGGAAAATCGCTCGATACCTCAAATCCTGGGTGACGAGCATCTTAAATAGTCACGAAATTTTGCCCAACCCCGTGGAAAGTCAGAGAAAAGTGAGGAAAATTTGTCGGGAACCTTGAAACTTTTCAATTAGCAAAAAAGCGCATGTTTTCCATTTCAAGAGTTTTTGCACTCAAATTTTTTGTAAAAAGAATTCTTTGAGAACTCATAAAAAAATTTAAAAAAATAAAAAACCGGTACTTAATGATATGCTCAAAATCCGTGATAAGTCAGCAGAAAGTAGGGGAGTTTGGAAATCCAAGAGAACTTGTCTCCTTGAAAGCTGACCGAAATGTTAGCCCATTTGGCTGAAAGCACATCGAAACTATTTTTTTGATCAACTTAACTCGAGTTGATTTCGGTTTTTTGAGAAGCGAAAATATTTTAATCGGCAATTACATACCGAAAATCCTCCCAAGAGGCTCTGGTGGATAGGATAGGGGACTGTGGCGGCCGAGAGTCGCAGAGCGCCAAAGAGCGCTGTAAAAGCGGCTTCCATGTATGTATATAATTACTGAAAATGCTTACTTCTCATTTATGAGTTGAGTTTGAAAATGTTTGATGTGTGTGTATTCTACTTTCCGTTTTAAGCGCTTTATCTAGTGTAAAGTCAACATTCTTACAGCAAATGTTCTAAAAAAAACTTAATTTCTTTGTTACAGATTCGCGATCAGTGCAAAGATCTTATCCTAACCGATGAGACCCTCCAGGAAATCATGTCAAGATTGCGGTCAGCAATCGAGACGGGATTATCAAAAGACCACCACGACTCAGCGATAGTCAAATGTTTCATCACATACATCCAGGATTTACCAAACGGAAAAGGTAAGTAACGTCTGAAAATTCAATTAACCTCCAGTACTCTTAAGGAAGCAAGAAACTGCTTTCTATGGCAAATTGCGGGATGTCGGTCGTTTGATTCCTGAAGGACATTGTAATAAACTTACGAGGTGTACTTTGAACCACAAAGTAAAAGTCAGGGACGTGCTCCTGAGTTATAAATAATAACTTCCCTTCCGGCCATTAAACCGCAAAGTGCACCCTATCTCCAGAAGGAGTTTTCCAAGTTAAGGGAAAGAACAGTAATCCAGTTAAATCTTATAACTTTAGGCAGAAAGAAATATTTGTTAATGAGCGTTCTTTGCATTTTCGCTGTTAAAAATGTGCTGTATTAAGTAAGGGGACTCTTGAGAGGGGATGAATGTCTTTAAATGGCTTTAAATTTTCCCAGATCAAAATTTTCAAAAAGCATCATCGCAATGTGGAAGATTGCAGAGACAGCACTTTTAGAGAAAATGGAGAAAATTCTTCAAGAGGTGAATCAATTTTGACAAATTAAATCCTTCAAAGAAACAAAATCTTCTTTGAATGGATATCTAATTTCAGTAAAAAAAAAAAAAAAAACTAGCAATTTTCCTAATGTCAATAGTTGTTTTCTGGTGGCTGATTTATTTTCTATAACCTACCCTAACTTTCTACCTCCACTTTTCCTACTTTAGATTCTAACTCTTTTTTTCTTTTTTTGCCGCAGAAAAGGGGAAATTCTTAGCCCTTGACCTGGGAGGCACAAACTTCAGAGTTCTCATCATTCATCTGGATGAAAACCACTTCGACATGCAGAGTAAAATTTATGCTATTCCTGAAAAAATCATGGTCGGCACTGGAGAACAGGTAAAATCTTTCTTTTGATTTCTGTCTTTTTTAATTACATACACTATCATAACAAAAGTAAAAATACCTAAAAAGCATGGAGCTTTACAGTATATCATCTGGTAAGGACCTAATCATGAGGAATTAGAATGTGAAAATTCTATGTAAGGCCCTTTGTCCTACCTCCTACCCTGGGCAGTTGTAATCTGCAAATTATGAATCCACAGGGGCATCTCATTTCTGAAAATATCAATTCTCAGAACTTGGTTGACATTTTAGATCTAATTCCGTTTCTTTTTTTGTCACAGCTGTTTGATCATATCGCACAGTGTTTAGCAGACTTCATGAAAGAGCAGGATGTTCACACAGAAAAGCTACCTCTGGGTTTCACTTTCAGCTTTCCCCTCCGCCAAGTTGGGCTCACTAAAGGATTACTAGAACGATGGACAAAGGGTTTCAATTGCTCCGGTGTTGTCGGCCTGGATGTTGTCCAACTTCTAAAAGATGCACTTGCTCGCCGAAACGTATGTATTGATTATATCGTGTTTTAATTTAGTTTCCAGAAATATCAAGTTTAAGTTTGTATGCCATTTTCTTACAGTATTCTTACAGCTCCGAAAGTAATGTTACACAGTTATTTAGAAGCCAGGAATGATGAGATTTAATAGTAGCAATCAGCATCAGCTAGGAACAGTAGCCTTTGCCGCAGAAACGGTTGATCTGAATCACATCAGCTTCTCTCTTCTTTTTCTTCTTTTTTCTGGCCTGTTCATTCTTTCACTATTTCAAGAAGTTTTCTTCGGTGGTAGCACTCAAATATCTTTTCCTCTAGTTGGTAAACCACTTGTCATAGTCTTTTAGCGTATGAGGTACATCAAATCTTAAGAGTTGATTGTATGACATAAGCACAAATTTGAAACTGAGTAGAATTTTTCAAAATAGAACATAAGTTGAAGGTTTAAAAATAGATATTGAAACAGTGCTCATTAACACAACTAAAGTTTCCTACAGTTTTGTACGGTGCAAGGAGAGTAGAAATAGACAGCTTTACGGAGTCACCCATGATTCATTGGTGAAAGTATGACTCTTATTTGTCTGTAACATATTAGACTTCAATGCTGAGTCTGTGTTCAAGAGCTCCATTGATAAGTTGGTCAAAGACGTAAATTAACTATTGACCCAACTGTTTTGTCACAAATTTAACTGTTTTCCCTGTGGTTCTTTGCCGCAGCATTTATGTCCGTATCTTTTCTCCATACTTACATCATGCCAGTTTCTCAACTGCGTTATTCTACAGGATTTTCATGAAGTTCAGTCATGAGTATAACAATTTTCAGAGGTTTTATAGGAATTACTTAATTCATTCTTGTGGGAAAAATTAGGTTCTGTTTGAAGAATAATTTTGAGTCTTATATTTAATGTGTAGACTCTTTGGATGGCAATGTTTAAATGAAAAGAGAGGTAGAGACAAATTACTTAATTGTGTAGGAATGTAGGGAATCTGTTTATATTTGAGATCAAGTAAGACAAAAGCGTTTTCTATTTCTCTTGGAATGCTCAACTTGCAGGATATAAAAGTGGAAGTTTCTGCCATTTTAAATGATGCCACCGGAACCCTTATGTCATGTGCATTTCAAGAATTCGATTGTTCGATCGGTATAATTGTTGGTAAGTAACCAACGGGTTACATTTTGCTGGGAAAAAATTTGCTCTTGTAGAATGCTTCATTAATGATGAATTCGTGTTTCATGAATGCGGGAATCTTTACTTTGAATGTTGAATTTTCTTATTGTCTCTTTCAGCAGGGATTTCCCTATTGGAATATTTTTACAGTGTCACCATGCTTTATCACAGGCCTAAATTCCTATTCACCAATCATTTATTTTTCTCCCCAAAAATTGCATGCTGAGGAATAAGTCATGCAAAATTCAGGAGCGGAATCAGATCTAACCATTTAGCTTGATTTGGCCAATGCTACTGCTTAGTTGAAATCTTTGGGATCAACTGGCGCTTATTAGCCAAAACCTACAAGCCCATAAACTTGCTTTTCGAGAAATTTTAATATTGCTTAATGCGAGGCTCTTGATAAGCATTGTTGTTAAAATTTCTGTACAATTCTTATTAATTTAAAGCGTGCGTAATTTATTCATTGAGCTTCAAGTAAGCCTCCATTTAAGCTACTATTAATTTTCACGATAAGCAAGCGCACAGGCCTTTTTTTTCTTGTGTACATCAGTGATGTGATATCACTTTCCTTTAATATTATCCTAAAGTTGAAATTAAATTATTTCAGTAAATTATGAGGTTTAAAAATGTTTAAAGAAGCAACCTGAATTCACTACAATGTTAATAAATTATCAATTGCACCCAGTCTCTGACCACTGAATTTATTAATTAGTTTTGAATTTTCAGGTACAAAACTTGCCTTATAGTTTACCACATGGAAAATGGTGGCTGAGGGATACAGCAACTGGCTTGGTGTATTGTTTAAGGGTTGAAACTCAAGCATTTTGGCACATTTAAAGGACCAGGGCTCTCCAAAGCCATTCAATCCTTGAACAATAGATTTAGCCGTTCACCTGACTCTTCCTATCAGCCGCCACTTTTCGTGTCGTAGACGATGATCACGTTCTGAATGAATGCAAAGAATAAATAAAAATTGATCCATTATCCTAGCAACAGAAAGATTTATTGTTCTCTACTTGTAGATCACGAAAATCAAAATCTTGCATCCACGGTTACCCCTGATTCACCTCATTTTCTGAAGACTAATACAAAAAATGTTTTTAGAGGGATAATGGACTCAACCTTTCTTGCAATCCTTTTAAGGAGAAATCTTCATTATAATGAAGTGACTCAGAAAAACATTCTTTCATTTTCTATTCATGTCTCATGTTTCACGTTCATTCTCATTTAATACTATCTGAAGTTATGTCAAATCTACCATGGTAAACGTTTCCAAAAAGAGAAAATTACAATTGGAGGCTCATTGGAGTTCAACAGCATTCTATTTTTCTCGCAATATTTTTGTCAAATAAATCGGGTGATTCCTATTATGACATCAGCGTGATGAAGTATCTTGCTTAATATAATATTTTTTTTATGTATTCATTTATTTTTCTCTATTCATTTCAATATGTTTTTTCATGTATGCATGTATCATGTTTTAACAATTCTGGGGAATTAAATTCACTTTGTATAACTCAGGATGTCCAAATTGAAGTGTGCGCCATTCTCAACGATACCACGGGAACGCTTATGTCTTGCGCCTGGAAGAATCCCAACTGCAAAATTGGAATCATTGTCGGTATGTCAATTTTAATGATTCTCTCTTCGTTGTCCTATAGTTTTGTTTTTCATTTTCAGTAAGTACTGGTTGTCCAACTCTATTGCAACGTCTCAGGGGTGCAGGAAGCTCCAAGACGCCAATAATTTTTCTAAAATCCAGGGTTTTTGCCCACAGCTATATTTCCAGTTCACCCTACAGCCAAATGGGGTTCTATTTTATTGCCAAATGCCCCACTGATGGTAAATTGTGTGATTTGCCCCCTTTTTTAGTATTGAAGGGGGAAAACGATGAAATATTTGACATTACCTTACAATTTGCCTTCTGTTTGCTGCAATCTGTGGACATTTTCTACCCTCCCGCGACGTTTCAGTTCTCCTCTGGCCTAGATATTTTCCGCGATAAAGAGGAAAACAATGAGAATATTAATCAAATTATTTCTTAGTATCTTCTTTCTTTTCAGTGTCAATTGTCTTCTCTTCACCTATCGTCTATATTATTCTTACCTATCCTTTTTATCCAAGTCACAAAAATGTTGATGTCTTCAACAATTATTGACTCCCATTTTTACAAGTCAATTCTTATATCATCATTCATTGATGCATACTTAGTTTTCTATTAAAGGGATAAGAGAAGAATACATTTTTTACTCTTCCCAACGTTTAACTTACATTTTTACAGAATGTTTCCTGATAATTTCTGACTCATCTTTCTGCAAATTACTTCAGCTTCTTTCTTATCACTGAATGCATCATCTGTGCTTCTTTAATAACCGCATGAACTTTTTATACTCAGCTGTAACTTCTTTGCTTCTTCATCTTCTCCCTTCTGCTATTTTCAATACTTTTTTCTGTTCTTGAAACACTGTTCTCATCTTCTTTCTCTTTTACTTTTCTAGCAATTCTCTTTTTTAGTTTCTTTGAGCCTGAAGAAAGTTATTTAGCTCAACTATTTGAGGTCAATAACTATCTAACCGAAATAAAAAATCATTTATTCAAAATGGTGGAAGGTCTAGTCCACACCAAAGTTTTTGGAATCAACGGAAAAATACATACACATTTGAAAAAATTCAATTGGTTTTTCTGAAGAAAATCAAGCATAATAGATTTTTAAGCATTGCAAAAGGCATTAACTTGAATGACCAAAAAGTTGCAAAATTTCATTTTATAAATTATAAAACCCGTTTTAATGTTTTGATTACTTTCGACAACACTGTCAACCAGGACTTTCAGGCAGGAGAGAGGAAAGGAGTCTACAGACCTAAAGTCCTAGGATCCTATACCTCCTGATTAACAGTAGAGGTCTATTTAATGCAATTATAATCAACCTCCTCAGAAAGCCTACTTACAGTGTAATCATCTGAAATTCTGAGTCAAAAAATGTCTACATAATTTACTGGCAGTGAGAACACAAGAGCTGAGCTCTGAGACTACCCTTTTCCCAAGAGAAATCTTTGATGACATACTAAATGTTCAGCAGAGAATGAATCATGGTGGTTTCACTGATCTGCCTAAAATTCTATGTTTTTATGGTTCATAATCAGTCAATTGTTATTTTTCTTTCACCATGACAAAGGGAATTTTTCTCTCTTCAAGTAATCATCATCAATCTTTTCCTTTACTACTAAGTTGTACTAAGTTGCTACTAAGTTGATTTCTCTCTCCTTCTTTATTGATAAATATTTAATTTTGATTTCTCAGGAACGGGCAGTAACGCTTGTTATGTGGAGAAAGTTGAAAATGCAGAATTATTCGATGGAGACAAATCAAAACCGTACGTCATTATCAACACCGAGTGGGGAGCTTTTGGAGATGATGGAGCTCTGGACCTCATTCTAACAGAGTACGACCGCACTATCGATAGCGAGTCCATCAATCCAGGAAAACAATTGTGAGTTAATTTACTTATCTTAGAGGAGGTCTTCGAGTAATGGGACTCTATGAGAAGAGTTTCATAAACAGGGTTGCTGGCAGTCCGCAAAGCTGGGAAAGTTGGGGAATTTGCAGCAACTGAGAAAAGTCAGGAAATTTGTGTATAGTGTTAAGTAGAAGTGAGTAATTTAAAGGGAAAAATCCAAGTGGAAGTATAATTCGAATGTTTGGGAAAGTCAGAGAATCCGAAAATTTTGGAGTTAGGGAAGAGTCAGGAGATGTGGAGATGAAGAAATTATAGCAACCCTGATAAACCACCTTGCAAAAAGGTATTCATGACTCTCCAGTAGACTATCACAGATCACAGTTTGGTTAATTTTTTCGTCTCTTTAATAAAAAAAAAATCGTAGACTCAGATTGGTTTTTCCCACACAAAATGTATTGGTGAAGTTGATAACGAGAACCCTGCATCTAGGAACTAACATTTCCTAGTGATCACGATTTTGTCGGCAGAAAAGAACTTTGAAAAGCATAGTTACTGGAAGCGTATAAAATGCTGACTTTCAACAGTAATAAGAATTGAATCATTAAATTTTTAGCTGCCTGACTTTGTATAATTTGTATTCTCTCTCCTGTGCTCTCCTGCAAAGTTCAGAAAAATCCATGTAAACGCATTAATCATGTAAAGAATTTGAATAATAAGGACCTCAACAATATAATTGATACTAAGCACTATGAAAAACTAGAGGGTGATGCCCCCTAGCTGCTACCCAGACCAACCCAAACGGCGCCTTTGAAGCCTGCTTTGCAGGTATCCTCGAGTTTATCTGAATAGAGCAAGCTCATGAAACTATTTCCTATTGGTAGCCTCAGGAACAATGAAAATGGGCCAGGTAGATCTCTAAGGTTTCCTAAGTTCTTCTCAGAATGCCTGTTTTATGTTTATCCTCATGCCTTAGAAATTCAAGGGCTTAACCTGGTTTTTAGATTTGTTTTTCTTTGGGTTTCCTGGTTTTAAGGAATAATTTGTCATTTTTGTTGCAGGTTTGAAAAAATGATAAGTGGTATGTACATGGGTGAACTTGCAAGGTTAGCTCTAGTGAAATTCACAAAAGAAAAACACATGTTCCATGGACAAGGATCAGAACAACTCTTTACAAAAGGCAGTTTCCTCACAAAATATGTTTCAGAAATCGAAAGGTAATTAGTTTTTGTCTTTGTTCTATTGAAGCCAAAATATTTTTGAAAGGTTTACAAGAAGGGAGCACTATTAAACTATTCTTAGCATCTCTGATGTTGCACTTGGTTTTGGCTCAATTTTAATCTCATTCATCAATGAAAAGAGATCATTTGTCATCAGTTTTCCTTTTAGTATAATCCTCTTGTGATCGGCGTAAAAACTTGGTTTATCAGCCATAAAAAACACAGAATGTGTGAGCCTTTGATATACCTCAAAATTGAAGTATTAAATTATTGAAGTGCACAGTCGTAGAGTCCCCGACAAATAAGTTTTTACACTTTAAGACAGCGACAAAAGATTGACTGACATCATTGTAGCAAATAAATGCAAGAATCAAGGTGGCATGTCGATGGTGTCTGAAAGTGCGCAAACTTATTTGGAGCAGACTTTAGTATGTCCCAAGATCCTTCCTGCATTCTAGCAGATTTTTATTAGTTTCAAATTCCTTTCACCATAATTTCCCATGATTGCAAAATATTTCTCTACCTATTTTTAAATTCTGTGCTAGGGCTGTTCTATCGGTTGTCGGTAAGCTACCGAAACAGTTCCTTTAAGAAACGTTACGATAAGAGCACTCTTACCGATAGTGATCTGAGTTTTCGGAGCTGACAAAAATAAGCTGTTGCCTTGTGTACATCTATTTTATGCCCCCCCCCTTCCCTGCGCCAGGCAATCTAACAAACTGACACACGGGGCAACGATGCATTGAGCGAAAGCTCTCAAAACTCCGATAAAGCCGGCTGTTAACAATATCATCGCCACTGTTGGTACTAACACCAGTTTCGGTAAAAGACGATACCGATAGTGTTCCGGCAAGAATTCGTTTGAACACCCCTATTCTGTGCATCCAAAGTATGAGAGCTTTTATACCTCTATTTACCTGTAATAATACTTTGAAAAGTAAAAAAACCAATGAGATATCATCGTATGAAATTTTTTCTTTAAAAAAATGTGTTTAATTTATTTCAGTGACCCACCAGGAAGTTTCGACAACTGCCGGCAAATTCTAGAAAAGTTAGGATTAGGACATGCCACTGAACAAGACTGTATCAATGTACGTTATATATGTGAATGTGTCTCTCGGCGAGCGGCCCACCTGGTTTCAGCAGGTGCTGCCACCCTCATCAACAAGATGGAAGTCAACTCCGTCACAGTCGGAGTTGATGGATCTGTTTATCGGTTCCATCCGCATTTCCATAGTTTAATGATAGAAAAAATTGCTGCTCTTATCGATACCTCTAAGTATAAGGTATGATATAGATTTTCTTATTTTCATTCATATGTTTGAAAATTGCATCTAGAGCTATTACTGTTCAGTTTTATAGTTTGATGTTTACCTTCAAGTTGTTTTAGACCTGAAAATATTGAGAAGTCATAAGGAGCCAGACTTTGACAGCAAGATTGGTGAGAAATATTTAGACACTTTTCTTGACCTGAGACTCAGTGACACTTGCTGCAATGAAAGCGGTCACTGAAGTGTGGGGTCCAACCGCTGGAACCCACAGTGGGCCAACTCTAGTAAAGCTCAGATGATTGCGAAACAGTGCAGGAGCACAATTGACCAAAACGCCAAGTATCATGGCAACGCATCTGGCTGTCTAGTGACCAGCTGTTCGCATAATTATACTGCCAATTTCATTAATCATATCCTAATAGGGTCTCTTAAAAGTTTAGGACCTCTTTGAAATCTTCAGACCACTTTTTGCTCGTCCTTTCAAACCTACTCCCGCTACACTACTCCCAAAGTTTTCACCGTTACTGAGACTTATTAGTGTAACACTGCCCTTAAATTCAGTTATAGCAAAATTTGACATGCCCCCTTCAAATTTGGGAGACAGAGCTTAGGAGCGCTATTTGGTGCAAAATTTTGCACACTACACCCTAGTGATAAGTTTTTGATATCCTCCTCACAATTTAACAACAGTACAATCCTATCGCTTGCAAGGAGACCTCTGACAGTCTTCATCAAATACCCCTCATTCAAAATACAAAATTTTCTTGTTGTAAGAAGAGACTTTCCTGTATTGAAATATTAAAGAAAAAAATGTTTCTCGCGTTCTAAAAATATTTCAAAATATTTGAAAAAAAGTTTTCAAGACATTTATTTTTCCCTCCACAATTTATCGCAATTCTAAGTAGAGTTGATCTCATGCACTATTCTTGTAAAATTGCATCAAACTTTTGCCATATCATATCAGTGAACCAATATGTAAATGAATTTACTAAATACTTTTTTTAGATCTCTCTCCTAAAGCATAATGCACAGACTTTTCCTCTGCAGGGGGCCAGAAGAAAATTTGTAAATATATTAAATGGTTACACCTTGGCATTGCATTTTACATATTTACGTCACGGAGGTCTGACATTTCTCTCCTAGTTAAAAATCATTCAGTTGTGATAGTGGTTGTCAGATTGCATTATTAACACCTGACGGTATCTACTTACAATAGTGCTATATGTAAAGCCTTGAAAAATTCAAAAGCCTATTAAATAATTTGCAAGAAGACAGAATGGCTCATCAACTGAATCATTAGATTGTGTTCAATACTCAAAAAAATTGATCTCACAATTTTTTGCTAAATATTTGAGAGGAATCTGAATGATGGCATCTATTTTTATTTCCTATTATTTCAGCACCTAGAATCGGATTTAAGTTTTAAATTCCGCATGTTATGCTATAATTATTGTATTTCTTCTTTCAGTTTGATCTGATGCTTTCTGAAGATGGCAGTGGGCGTGGTGCTGCACTGGTAGCAGCCGTCGCCTGCAGAGAACGGTGAAACACATCACAAATGTAAGGAAAAGGAGCTGATGCCTTTCCACCACGAACTTGTAAAGTAAGGCAGACTCAAATTCTAGGTATTTGCATTCAACTTAAATTTTAATTCCTCAGTTTTGCCTGCTCATTTTATGGCCACGCTTGCCGAGCTCCACCTTCTTCGAGTCAATACCAGGATTTAACGGGACTAGTCTGATAGTTATGTAGAAGAAACTTGTTTTAAAGATCAATGAAGCCAAGCTTATTGTTATCTTGTCGAGAAGTAATAAAATTGAAGACTGTAAATCTATTTATTTTTATCAATATTGTTCAAAATTTGTGTAGTTTTTATTCATTAAGTTGTTTGTTTGCAAAATTTTAATGGTACGTTAGACCTTTTCTCTGTGATAATTTTGATTCAAACTCAGTTTTAAACTAAATGAAATGGTGGTTACTAACTGTAGATTTAATTATTAGCTCTCAATCATTCTGTAACTTTTTCTTTTGATTTGTTTATGATATTTTTTCTTCCTTTATCCTTTGATTCCACGTCAATAGTTGATCTAATCAATGAAAAGTTTAGATGATTATCTCCATTTTAGCTCAACAAAAAAAGCACATTTTCTGAAACTAGATTAATAACTTAATTAGGTGGTAATGATGGATCTCTCTCCCAAATGATGAAACTTGTGTATCAGAAGTGTTCTGACCGGGTAGTATTGCCAATTTGCAAAGAAACATCATTCTAATATCTTTTTAAGAATAATTGTAAAGTTGGTTAATTTTTACAATACCGTCAAAACGGGTCTAAAATAAACGAGAAACAAAAAAGTCCTTACCACCTACAGCACATTCTCTTTTTTTATTTCCTCTCCAATTTTATTTTAATATTACCAAACTTTCTTTTGTACTTATCAATATGTTCTTAATTAAATCTCTTAAGAGTCTAAAAAGTAACCGATGCTATTCTTTAGTTTTATTGTCTCTCCTAAATCTTCTGAAACTGATAAATTTATTCGTTTGAATCATAACTTTGAATATCTAATCAGTTAGTTATCAAAGGAACAGGTTAAAAGGCAGAGAAATTTTTCTTCAAGAAAAGATGAACAATATTGTTTTGTAATTATTAGCTGTCAGACTTTGAATGTAATTAAAGTGTAATTATTGTAAGAATCCATGAGCTCAAGCCGGGAATGAATGGCTGTATAATGAAGTGAAAATTAAATCAATGTATTTAATGATGTTTTGCAAAATGGAATGAAAAAAGGTCCTTGATTTCAAAACCAAAATTGTTTTAATCCACAAATTTAATTTCAGATATTAAGTTTACTGTCACTGATAAGAAGCAAGTTCATCTCAAAGTAATGTCGTAAAGTTCAGTGAGTTTAAAAAAGTTATTTATGAAAGCTTTGATAGCTATGTATGAGCCTTGTAAAAAAGAAAGAGTTCCCTTTTCTCACTTGTATTATCTATAAAACTAGAGTGGAATGAACATTAATTTAAGATGCAACTAAATTCATCAGAGTTTTAGAAAATTCAACGTCTGCAAGGATCTGAGTCCACTTCAAGTATGCTTGATATCGTATGAAATCAAGGACCTATTTTGCGAAATGCCTTATTTTTATCGATCAATGTCTAAACTGAGCAGTTTATTTATTTTTTTTATTTACATATTTATTAATTCATATCTTCGCCTGCTCTTTTTTATTTATTTATCCAAGTTGACTTTTCCTTCTTATTTCACAATTTTGATTACTTTTTTCTTTTATCACGAAATCATTCATCCTTTATTCTCATATTTATGTTCTCCTCCCTTCCATAATATATTCATTTTGTTGTTTTTTGTTCTTTCCTTTTTCATTCTGTTGTTACTGCAGTCAAAAAAAATCTTAATAGCAATAAGGTGAACATTAATACTTTTGTTTTGTTTTTATTTGATTTTTTCAGTTATTACAACATTTTGAATGCTCTGTATTTTTTTGTCTTGTAAGTGTTTAAAAACATTATTTAAAAAATTGGAAATTCATTCGTTATACATGTATGAAGAGTCAAAATGATACCTGAAAAGGCTAAAGCAGGAATGTCTGTCACTCAGTTGAAACTCTTACAAGACTTTTTTGTCAAACAATTCAAACCTACAAGCACTTACCGTGCGAGAATTTTCGTAAGTTTGTCCGTCATTTCAACTTGCTATTTTTGAGTATGAACAACTCCAAATGCAAAATTATTTTTTTACATACTCTACATAAACGCCAAGAAACTCAGTTATGTATCAATCATCAAAGTGCATGCCTAAAATTTTGTTTAAAAAATTTCTTTTAAATTTCAAAATCGGTTCCCTCTTTTCATGGGCATGTTATTAAATACTGCAATGTATGAGCGTAATTTGTCTCTTTCTATGATGTGTGTATGTGATTCCTTTAAACTGAGCTACGCTTTTCAGTGTTATATATAAGAGAGCTGGTTTTTCAAGAAAAGAGGCTGTGAAGTTTGTTGCCGACACAAAGTGTCTATCCATTATTGGTGTATAATATATTGCGAAAAGTAATGTCGTGTGAATACAAGTGACTTTCTAATGTTGAAAACTTTTGGTTTAACACTATTTTTTCAGAATTTTACCTAGAATGCTTCTATCAGTGTAATAAATGCAGGAGGGGTAAGCTCAATAATCGACTTGAGGAAAAAACTTGAAATATCAGTTAAATCCAAAAAGCTCCGTTCTAAGTACCTTACGGATAGTAAAAAGATCATCTCTTAGCATCTTATTCCTTCTCTAGATAATGGAAAATCTTTCTCGTAAATTTTACTCCTAATCTCGTTGTAAATTCTTATTTTTGTACTTGTCAAGGAAGCTCTATTCCTACCACTTAACTTCTTAAAAGATGCTAATCTTGTCCAATGGCCCAAAAGCATCAATAATTTAACTGTGCACTGCACAGAATGGATCAGTTTTACAGTATTTTTTTATAAATTTATCAGATCTTGCATAATTTCTTCTGGAAACTGACATATATTTTACTGCATAATAATCGTGTTACACGTTAAATGCTGCATAATGATTATTATGTCCAAAATTTATTAGTAACAAATCTATGGTGAAACTACAAAAACACGTTATCGGATTGTGCTGCTGCAGACTTCTTGTCATATTTTATTTTTTACATGAAAAACCACTGAGTATCATTACTTCAAAACATTAGTGTTTTTTTTTCTCTGTGTGATGATATTCTGTGAAAATCTCAAGTCATGATATTAGTTTGGTCTCTTTTTAAAAAATAAAATAGCAGAAATATTGAAACACCACAACCGACATACGTAATTATGGAGTTTCACCCTTGAAATATATATTTATATCAAAGTGTTGTATGTCTTTAATAGATATCAGCATTTTCCTATCCTCATATGGAGTTACAATAAATATTCAAGTTCAGCTTTAATGATACCTCAGAATTCGTACGTTCAGAACTGAAGTTTACTTTGAAATTGAAGAGTTTCAAAGATGAAGGAGAGTAATGTTCGCAGGATTCAGTTTGCAACAATAACTTTCAGCCTCACAATTGTCCAATTATTTACGATATTTTTTCAACTAAAATTTTGGCAGTGAATACATTGATGCTTGTTGTATGTTACCTATTGTACTATGATTTTAAAGTTTTAAATTCATATGGACAAGGTGCTGGTAGGACCTATTTTTTCTTAAATCAGAGAATCACTTAAAAGAATTTATTTTTTGAACAATTTATTTGTAGTCTCATTCTTTGCTAGGCACAGGAAAAAATCATTGAAAAGACAACTTCTTGGTTTCCATTGTAATCATGTTAAGACTGATTGCAATTCATTTTAGTTTTTGGACGAAGAAGTTTTTCTATCTTATAATTTTCAAATGTACTTAAAAATCCTTCAAGAACATAGTGCAACTATTCAGGGACTGCGATCAAGACGTTTCTCTCGGAAATCCAAAATTAGGATAGCACATCCGTTCCTTAATGAGTACATCCTCTTTTAAAACCTGTGTTATAAATTCCAGTGAAATTCATAATTCAAATTTAAACTTACGAATTTCTCATAGACTAAACATTTTTGTAATATTAATTTGTACCACAGAACCATTCTATTCTATCTGGAAAAAAAAGGAAAACTGCAAAAGTTTATTTCTGAATTCAAAATTTATCCATGCAATAGTTCTAACTTTATTTCCTGTGGCTAATTTTATTTATTTCCCAGTTCTTTGTTTTTGTTGAGTTTTATTTATTAATTTATTCTATTTAATATTGTGTCCAACACTTACTTAGTGAAACCATTAAATTATTATCACCCCTTCTGTTTTTTTCTTTTTTTTCCATGTGAAGCGCAGCTTAGTTACGATTGTTGTAAATTTAATTTACCGATACTTTGTAATTTTTCAAGTTGTATTATAAATACTAGTTTCGCTTTATTTCACCAAGTAAAAGAAGGAAAAACAATCCAAGAATGTAAAAGAAAATCCTGTGGCTGTCATTTGTTTGTAAAACAAAATTGATGTATGTACCAGACCCTTTTTTGTATTTTATATTTTAAAAGTAATAGAAGATTTACATGTACATTGATTTCCTTCTTACTGACCCCTTCAACTTCATTCTAAAGATTTTGGATTCAAGAACAAAATGCAATATTTTTTGTCAATGGTTGTGTTGATTTAATATTTTAATTAGAAAATAAAATAAAATGTAATATCTATTTTACCACCAACAGCAAATTCAATTTGGATGCCAACCTTTCACACACACCAAAAAAAAGGAAAAGGATAAAGCTTTTGAGGGAAAAATGTACTTTTTTATTAAGTTCTGAAAACTCTGAGTGTAGTACTTAATGTCAAGTGTCAGTGCTAGTGAACAGTTACAGATTTACTTCTAAAGGATAACTTTCCCAGGGTTTGCGCAAGTGTGCATCAGATCAGTCGAGCAGAACTGTCATAATTTTTCATGATACCATGTTATGAGTCTTACAAGGTAAAAAAAAAAACATTAATTTCTCATTGCCAAGTTTACCAAGATTATTACACTGCTGATATTTTTGACAAAGATCAGCAGTCAGGAAACTCAATTTTCAGAATTTGTAGTTGAATCGGCACTGTTCTTTTCACCTGAAAAAAATTGGGAGGCCTAATTTAAAAATGGATGAAGGAATAAATCAAAGAAGCTTCAGTAGGGAAGTCAAATGATAGATGATCACAACGTTTCACTTCATAATATCATCATTCTTGATTCAATGGGAGAATGAAATTATTCATCCTAAACAAGAGTAAAAATGCTTCCATTATTCCTTTGTATACTCAAAATAGCGGTGAAACGAAGGAAACACGAATCAATTAAGGTCTGTTGAACTTTTCGCTCTCGATATAATTTTTCAGATCATCTATAACAGTGTCGCAACTAACATTTTTTAAAAACTACGTAATTTCTGTTTTCAACATGCCTTTAGGACGATCCATGTTGTTGTCTTTTACACAAAGGAACATTTCTTGTTTTTGCTGCTTCAGTGTTGCTAGTGTTGCTATGAAAATTTCATTTTTTCACCAGAGAACCACAAGAATTAGATTGAAATTTGAGAGTCTATTCTCGCAGTGGTAAAGAAAAATAACTATTGGAAGTAAGAAATATTGAGATAAGTTCCTTCACTCAGGAGACGACAATATGTGTCAAAAAATTACTCAATTATTGAATACCTTTCATACTTCAACTTAAAATATTCAAAACCTTAGAGTTACTGCAAGGTGTGGAGTTTTCGAGAGGGAGAACTTTTTTACAACTTTTCCTTCTGCATTGGACATTTATATATAGCATAGCTACAAAACAAACTCACCACTAAAGTGTGATCTGTTCATCTTTATTTCCTCTTCCTTTTGCTCCTGAAAAAAGAGGTTAAAAATATGTTATGGCTCAAATTTAAAAAGACATTGATTTCATGACAAATGCACAAACTATTTAAGGATGTTAATAATAATCAATTTTTAATAATGATTATGATAAAATATGATAATGAATAATGATAATAATAATACCAATCTTAATTACTGGCTTACATTCGTTTGAAGTAACAACTTCATCTGGGAAAAAGTTACTGCAAAATATAAAGGATCGAGTATAAAAAATTAAGTAAAGTACCGGGACATTTCGAGTGAGCCCTGCAATCTCATTTTCAACTAGAAAAAAGAAAGTAAAAATGATTCTTGTTAGATTATCACTGATAATAGATTGTTGTTGAGTTCTTGTGAGACAGAGACTGGAAGTATTGAGTTTCGGTCTCACAAGAACAGCAATTCTACGATTCATTTTTGTTTTCTTTTTCCGGTTGTAAATGAGGTTGTAACTAATTCGAAACAACTTGGTTGTTCTACTGGATTTTTTTATCTGATATTTTATATATTGCAGCAGCCCTCCTCCAAAGTTGGGTAATTTTTTTCTGTGTTTTTTGGCTGATTATGTTGTTTTTTATCGAATATTCATCTGCCGGGAGTGCAGTAAAAGAATACTTACCAATTGTCGTTTGATCTCTGCTAGGATTTCTGCTTTCTCCAATTTCAATTTCTCCCACACCTCTAACTGTAGTTCACTTTGCTTTTTTCGAATAACTAATGTTTCAAAATCGGGTTGCATCTGTAGATATTCGGATTCCAAGGCTAAGTTTGTAATCCTAAGTTCCTCTATTTCTTTCTCCTGCTCAACAACCAGCAGTTTCTCTGCAATTCATATGAAGAATCCACAAAATTTTAACAAACTAATAGTCTCTCATACGGAAGCACGGAAAAGTTCAAGAGGTTTATTTGTAGTATGTTGTAAATCTTTAAAATGAAGGGTCTTTTTTTGTTACTCTTTCTTGTTCTTTTTAACTTACTTCTACTTTCTGGTCCTTAATTGTTTTCTTGTTTACTTTTTCTCGTCACTAGTCATATATGATCATTGACCAGCATCTACTTAGGTACTCAATCAAATTTTTCACAAAATGCGAAACTAAGTAAAGGTAGTAAGTAAAGGTAGGCAGTGGAAGTGGAATGGGTAGGTATGCAAGTTGATAACGAAGTCAGATAATGCATTGTTATTTCAGTCGACCATCAACTTATCAATCTCATATTTTGATTTAATCAAAATACAGGTAAGTACCTAGGTATCTAACTAATTTTATTGGAATCAGCTTAGGGCACAAACCTCTGATGTCCATTTTCTTCAATTCTGATTTATTTGCATTGAAATAGGTACGGTCATAAGTACTTAAAGTATTTACCAGAAGTACTGAGAAAAATTTGATTTCTTCTATTTTAAGTAATGCAGCTGCAATTTTAATATTCCTCTTTTTCTTTTTTTTCCTTTTTTTTCTTTTTTTTTCAGTCAATTCTCAAATCATCTTTCCTCTTAAAGGGAGAAAAAAATTACCTCCTCTGTTTCAGTAAAAAGAGGAACCAGAAAAACTTATACCTACATTTCAAGTGACCTTCAGTCTATTTCTATATTTTCTTTATCTTTCGAAACTAAGTAAATATTTAATTTTCATTGGATTTGACTTTCTTGGTCAAGGTACAGTCACCTCATCAAAATTAAAAGAATAATGAAGTTACCTAGTTCAGGTAATGCCTTCAACTTAGTCTTCAGTTAATCATCTGCTACATGGGTAAGAAAGAGCTCATAACTTACTTGCATCAATATCCAGTTGAGTTTCATTATTCTCAAATTCCAGTTTTTGAATCTGGCCAAGAACATCCTGCATGCAGCTAGGCGCTCGTTCCCTTCCAGAAAAAGAACATCGGCGAGATAGACTGGTCCCCTGAGAAGTGATTGACATTTTCCGACGACTAAGATCCATACCTATTCAAATGGCAGCTAAGTCAAGTAGGCACTCGTGAGTTAAAATAAAAGCTGACAGGATTTTCTGAGGGCTATCTTGCAAGGAATGCAAGTCAGTACAATATAATATGTACCTATACTGCTTTTGGACCTTTAATCACTTAGATTCTGAAACAAGGAAATAAAATGCCTGGTTAATTTCAATTCCACATTGTGATAGTAAATACATATTACTGAATAAGAAAGTTTCAAAGGATGCAGAAATTTAAACTAAGTGATTTCCTCGAGCTCTCACACCCAATAGGTAGCACGAGCTGTAAAAAATTGGATTATAGGTTTACATGGTAAAATGATTGCTATTGTATAGGGGTGCCGTGTATGTTGTCTGTTCACTAATTGAAGGGGTCCCTGTTATTGACATTTATTGCAATCCAATTGAAATGAATTGCAAACAGTTTTTTAAGTATCTACCTACTTAGATAAATTCTAAAGAAATTGTCACCCATTTTTTTTTTTTTTGCATAGGGAATTATCTACCATTTGCATAAATGGAATTTACTGTATTGACCGTTTAATATTGGCATTTACTGTCCCAATGATGTTCGTAAAGATATTGCAATCTCATGCACCGAAAAAAAAGTGAAGTTGATTGAACATTCTAGATGTGAAAAAAGTGTGCGAGAACTTATAAAATGCTGAATTACCCGCTACAGTAGTTATTTTAACAATGCCAAGATGTAAAAGTAACTGCTGCGGCGATTAATTCGGCATTTATAAAATGCTGAATTACCCGCTACAGTAGTTATTTTAACAATGCCAAGATGTAAAAGTAACTGCTGCGGCGATTAATTTGGCATTTTTAAAGTTCTCGCACACTTTTTTCACATCTTGAATGTTAAATCAACTTCACTTTTTTTTCGGTGTGATAAACAAATTGCAAAATACCGACTGCAGATTGCAATTTGATTGCATTAAATTGCAAAATTACTTGAACATTTACACAGCGCAATGTGCTATTTAGGTATTGAGCAAATGTCCACGTACTGTCCATCAAAACTGTAATGGAAATCACACGTGAGCTTAAAATAAATGTAGGTACCTACCTACTCGCCTAGAATTTAGAAACCACCCGTTCATTCAATGCAAATTCGTGTTTCCTTTTTTTTATCCTCGTTTACCACCTCGTCGTTTCAAAATAATACAGAAAAGGTACTTTACCTATGTCAGTATAATAAACTGTTGCCGATACCTACCTCTCAACACATCAACGTCCAAGGGGTGTGAAAGCAAGAAAGATAAGTACCTAACCTTCAAAAAAAAATTCGCTACTTTTGCGTACCTAATCTCGTGGTTTGCGGAGGCAATGCAGCACCGGAAACGGAAACACGAGAACTTCCGGAAACGACGTACTTAGCCTCTGTTTACTATATCGTCACCTTCCGGCTGTAGTGTCACAAGCACTACATGCGACGTTTAAAAATTTCCGCCGCCATTTTATTTTAAACAGAGAAATTTCATGGGTTGACTCTGTTTGAAAATTTCACTGAATTTTACCGGCAGCACAAAGGAAATTCAATTTTCGGACAGCTTTGTTGAGCAATATTTCTCTGTAAAAAAAAATAAAATGGCGGCGGAAATTTTTAAACGTCACATGGCGCTTGTGATACCTACTTTGGCCGGTGACGAAATAGGTTTCTCATCAATTTTACAGCCTGTACGAAACTCATAACTAAGAAATTTACACATTGAAAATTCACTTTACATTTCTCACCATTACATTATCACCGCCATTGGGCCGCCACACAGTAGAGCGTGTCAATAAAAGAATTCGGATATGATTATAAAACTTTAGGTAAGTAAGAGCTTTATTTCCTCGTTGATACGAGACGGGAAAGTTTAAAAATGGTTCCATCGGTTTTCTCGTAAAATTCCCTCCTAGCTTCACTTTCCTTAAAATGTTTACTTGACGTGACGAAATAATAAATCTTACGCCCGACCTCTCCGTGGCGCTCTCTCCACAGTTGCGTGGCGTGAATTGCGGTGCATTGGTTGCTATGTCATTTAAACCTATGGTAAAGAATCGATTATTAGGGCGTTCGCTGCAAAAACCCTGTTTATCGATCCTTTTCCATAGGTTTAAATGGCATAAAATCGATATATCGCAAAGAACGCCACGCCACTGCTCTCCACTGTGCGCCGCTCCGGTTAAATAGTGCATTATTGAAGATACTTAAGCGATTTTTCAAAATCATGTCATATTGATAGATTTTATTATCTGCTTAATCACATTCATTCATGCCCCGCATTCTAAAAATATTTGATCGTAAAATTATGGCCCAATAATTTTCTGCGGAAACTCCTCGGAACCATCTCTGCTGCCGATTATTGGAGACAACTCCCACACAGATTCTCTAACGGAGACAAGATGGTAGTTTCTAAACTTTTAGACTTTTCTGAGTAGTTTGCTCAGGGCGGCATGAAACGTAAGGAAGAATTGAAATATTGGAAATTTCAGTGAAACATTTCATGAAATTCAAGAAGCTATGAAATATTTCATATTTTTCAGGGGCTGGACTATGCAACCCGCACTGAAACATACAAAAATAGAAGAAAGTAACATTTTTTACATTTTGCAAAATATGGAAAGGAACCGGTATTTTTCAATATCTTTCATAAATTTCTGATATTTCATGACAAATTTCACGTGAAATTTCGAGATTTTATTTTTCATGAAATTTTGCCACCCTGGGTTTGCTGCTTATTAAGACGTGTGCAACCTTTGGAAAATCCAAGGACCTTCGCATGCGTGACATCTAAAAGCGCGAACTTTTCGAAAATGTAAGTACTAATTTTAAGTTCCATCCCCCCCTCCTTCCCGAAGAAGGTAATAAATATTGCCAGCAACATGGTGTAGCAACATTGATAAAACGTTACTTTTGCACTAGATTGCAACGATGAAAAGCAGGGGCGGAGCAAGGGCTGAAACCATGGGACGAATTTTGAAAAAAAAAAAAAAACGATATGAGAGTGGGGAGGGTCCCCCTAACTGACAAGGAGGCAACCCGAGAGAGGTATGGGAGTCTTCCCCAGAGAATTTCGAAAAATAGGCGGTTACTCATAGAACGCGATTTTTGGCCTATTCATAGTAAAATCCACTATTTTTAAAGAAAAAAGATCCTCGAAAACTTTGGAGAGCAAATCCCCCCACTCCCCTCGCCTTGTCAATTGTGCCTTTTTTTACTTTTGGAGGGTGGACGTAGAATATTAAAATTTTCATCGATAGATAGTTCAAAATTCACAGTTTTGTTGTACAATTTTGAACCATTTTCCGGGGGAGTACCCCTGGCGGCCTGGCCCCCACTTGGGGGGTATTCCATACCCTCCAGATCCCCCGGTGAATGGACTCCCCCTCTTAAAGAATTCCTAGCTACACCACTGATCTCTGCAACCCTGGTAAAAATTGGCGATAAGAGCTGCGTTTCAAAATACCATAGGAATTCTTATAGCCGGCTGAAGAAGGCTACAGATAATCATATGGCTGGCTGTAGAATGCGGAGAAACTCATACGGCCGGGCTATACGAAGCGATAAAAAATTATGCAGCCGGGCTATAGTTCCTATCGCCGGGCTTTACACTTTATCGCCTGCTTGTTACTTTTTCGCCATCGATTATAAAAGGCTATAAGAAATTGTGTAGAAATTCGTGTGCTTTGGAAATCATTAAGTTTGATACGGAACCACCTTAATATTTACAAAACACATTATATTTCCCTTTAATACATATTTTTTCCATTAATTAAAATGAGAATAATCCATACAGAATGTGCAAACATTTCAAAATCATGAGTTGAATAACGCTGACTCCGCCAGATTAAATATTAAAGCCTAACACAAAACGGAGCGGCGACGCACTGGCGCCTACAAACCTAACAGGGATACTTCACGCATTGCGCAACGCGTGAAGTATCCCTGTTAGGTTTGTAGGCGCCAATGCGTGTTTCGCGCTGGCCCGGCTGCCCGCCTGACACGGCGCTTGAGGGAACTATTTCGCACCAGAGGTATTGCACAGTATCATACGAAACTGAAGGCGCTCTAATATATTAGTAATGACAAGCATCCATCAAAAGTACGGAGCTTTCCTCGCAAAATAAAGCAAGATACTACGGCCCAAAAAGAGAGCAGTATTCCAAAAACTCACCAAGTCCTAGCATCCGCAATTAGTAACGTTTAGCATACACTTTATCGCCTGGCTGTTGCTTAATCGCCATCGGCTATAAAAGGCTATAAGAAATTGTGTAGTCGGCTATAGAAGCTATTGGAAATCTTACAGCCGGCTGTAGGTCTATGGTATTTTGGAACACAGATTCTACTGCCAATTTTTACCAGGGTACCGTACCGTAGTAACATTACGCCGCGCCGGTAGAAAAGTTTACTGTTCAATACTGTTAGGCGAGTTTTGAAATAAAGAGCGTTTCGTCGTGCACTAAAGAGATATTTAGCTAACTGGCCGACTCAATGTATATAGAACATGCATATGCATACAATGTGCATATGACATGACAATGCCTAATACAGTTATCTTCCATAATTTGAACTTCACTGGGCATAAAGGAACCGCACATAATGGGAAATTCTATACTCATGGCTCCTTTCACTTAGGCCGCGTTGCCAGATAGTGCTGATTTTTCAGCACTTTCCCCCATTTAAACACATGTAAAATATCTGCACAATCTCGCAACTTTGCACTTAGTGCTCCTATCTGCGTTTCATGGAAGGCAATCACCGCCGTAAATTTAATTACATGATGAAGCGGAGAAATCGCTGTGAAATTTTCACGGCATTTTTTATCCTCTACTGAGTGGATTATGAGCAAATCCCTTGTTCGCAAAGCTCGGTCTACGTTCGCGAGTAGTTACATCGGCAGTACCTAGACCCGTTTTCGGAACCAGTGGCAATTCTTGAATGTTGGCATCGCTGTTTTACCTCCATTTAAATCCACAGTAAGTGTCGATTCCATATCGATACGAAATTGACTGTTTTACACATACATTTAAATGGACTATAGACAATGCTATCAACTTTCGGGAATTATCACTGTGTGGGGCTCATCACTCAGAAATTTTCCTGCAATTACAATTCTAAGAAAAACGAAGATCAAAAAACAATTTTTATAAAATTTCATAATCAAAATTAAAAATAATGGAAAGTGACTTGAATAAAAAGTAAGGAATCGACCGATTCTGAGCCCGAAAACCCGAAACTCCAAACCATTCCAACCTCGAAACAACCAGCTTAGGTGCAGCAACCCCCCCTCCTCCCATAAACTTCGTGAGGGAGGTCAGAGGAACGCGGAGACCCTAAAATTCGGATTCCTTGGACTCCTGGCTTTTTTCCGTTTTTTTAGACTCGATCCATTTATCAGTATATTTCACAAGTTTCAATTGGCGGATACAGCGATTTGGCAACATTGTTTTCCTTCATTTAAACCTATGAAAATGTATCGATTCTTGGAGGGGCCAGGTGCTCCGATATGAATCGATCATTTAATATGGATTTAAATGGAGGAAATCCGATGTTGCTAAATTGCTGGATCCGCCTCTGCAAGTTTCAGAAATTGCCGGAAATATTTCAATTGAAATTTTACGAAATTCCATCCTTTGCTTGATGCGTTCCACGCGAATATCATCAATGGTCTCATTTTGGGGCTGTTGATAGGATCCCTCCGATTGGAAAGGCGTAATAGATGATGTCATTGATGGTGGGGTGCGAAA